TTGCAAATCTTCTCCCAGTTGAGATGTTTAGGCATGAGAATAGCCTCTCAAACCCAGAATTTTCTATAAATAGTTTGGTGTGTATGCAGATATATTACACATCTGTACATATTTGGATTTGCGTCTGTTTTGTTGTACTTACACTATGTTTTTGCTTAGGAGTTATGGAATTATAAACTGAAAAGAGTAAGATTTTTGTGCTGGTGTACAACAAAATCTCACACACTGATAGTTTAATATTTGATTTGTGGCTAGCACAACATGCACTATTGTCTAGAATGTTAATGTTTACTACATTTAACACAGACTACTACTACTAACCTGAACTTTGCTTTGTGAAGAAAAGACTGTCTTTGTGTATTAAGTGTTTTTTTCCTAAATGTGAACTTTCTAAAGGAATGGTGCTAGGATATGCTTTTTTAAAAGACATTCTGAAGCTCTTTTAGTTAACACTAACTGTAGTGTTTTAATTAACAAGAATACAATTTGCTTAAAATATCCAACTAAAAATAAGTTCTACTCTAAAAAAAAAAACTTCAAAATGCATATTTTGCAAGACATAAATGTTTTGTAGCCTAGTCTGACTTTTTGCAGTTAGAATATTTTTGTTGGGGTGTTTTAGTCTCTGGCTGAAATTTACTTCCTTAGACCTAAAAAGCCAATTCCATAGAAGAGAAGCATACCCAAAGGAGCTGAGACTTCCTCAGGCTGAGGCTTTTTTGAACTTTGTGTCATAGGTATGTGTTTAAACTCTCTCAAAAGAAGTAGAAGGAAAATAATATTCTGTTGAGAGAAGGTGGTTTACTGTTTATTTTTAAATAGTCTAGATATTTCTGGCTGCATGTTGGGTGTTCGCATGATGATTAGATGTGGGATTATTTTAAGTTCTTTCCTCATCCTTTTCTGCCTCGCAAAGTTTCTTCTGTTTGTGTATTTATAAACCTTACACAGTGTGTACCCTTTCAGTGAGGACAAAGTGAGCAATTTATTTGGAGGATAAAAACAGGAATTTTTTTTTTTTTTTTTTTTTTTTTTTTTTTTTTTTTTTTTTTTTTTTTTTTTTTTTTTTTTTTTTTTTTTTTTTGCTGCTCATGCCAATCTGTCTGTTGTTGCCAAATGCATGCTAAATAGGTCATTCCAGCAGAAACCCTTGCATTAAGAAGCAAAGAGCAAAGCCATGTTGGTGGTGTTATGCATTTAAACAATCATGGATTCATTTAGGTTGGAAAAGACCTTTAAAATCATTGACTTCAACCATTAACCCTGCACTGCCAAGTCCACCTGTATCCTTAAGTGGCACGTTCATGTGTCTTTTTAAATGCCTCCAGGGATGGTGACTCAATCACTTCTCTGGGCAGACTATTCCAATGCTTTGCAGCCCTTTCTGTAAAGAAACTTTTCCTCATACCCAATCTAAACATCTCCTGGCACAACCTGAGACCTTTACCTCTGGTCCTGTCACTTGTTCTGTGGGAGAACAGACTGACCCCCACCTGGCTACACCTTCCTTTCAGGTGGTTGTGGAGAGCAATGAGATTCCCCCTGAGCGTCCTTTTCTCCAGTCTCAACACCCCCAGCTTTCTCACTCACTTCTCGTAGGGCTTGTGCTCCTGATGCTTCACCAGCTGCATTTTCATCTCCACCACTCAATGTCTTTCTCATGGTGAAGGGCCCAAAACTGAATGCAGGATTTGAGTTGTGGCCCCACCAGTGCTGAGTACAAGGGGACAATCACTGCCTCAGTCCTGCTGGCTGCACTGTTTCTCTCTAAATTTTAGATAGACACCATCATACACTGAGCACTTTTATCATTTCTGTTCTTCCTTGTTCAGAAGTGGTGAGTATGACTTGATAACGCTTCATCTGATGCAACTGTAGTGAAGAAGGAGGGTACAATCCTTCTTTGGCAGCCACTTCACACTTAGATTGGATTAAGTGTAATGTGAAACCATACCTGAAATAATTGGTTTTATGCTGCTGGAGGTTTTCATAGGGACATACAAGTTTATTGAGGTACATACATGCCTTCACAAGAAAACAGTCTTAGTTGCTGCCAATGTTTTGAAATATGTGTGTTTTTTCTTTGGTGGCCTGCCTTTGAAACTTGTCATGTTTACATAAATCTGAAGCAAGGGCTACTTAAGAACGCATCTTTTGCTTCCTAATCTTGATTCCTCATCCCTGTAAGCTGTAGCTACAGAATAGTTTTATTTCTTGCTCACAGCTTATTCTGTATGCACTCTCAGGCACTGAAGTAGAAGCCTGTGGAGTACATTCGTATTCATGCAAGGAACAGTAGTTGCACAAACCTAAAGGATGCTGCAGTCATAAAAGAGTGCTTTCATTTACTAGTGTTTATAAATTGAATCAATGATTTTTGCACCCTGTAACTGCTTGTGGTTTTAATAAAAGATTGATATTTCATAAGGGGTTCTGGTTTTGTGTCACTGGTGAGGTCAAACTGAGTGGATGGAAGTAGAGCCATCTTTCAACTCTGGTTTGAGAAGTATCTCAGACACATATTACCATATAGCAACAAGTCTCCACAGTCTCCCTGGGAGAAGCATCAAAAGCTCATGGTTGAGGGAATACATGGAATTTTCTCTATCCTTCTTGAAATCAAGGGCCCTCATGGGTAGTGAAGAGCCTGTGATGCTGCCAGGCTAGGCTCCATAGGGATTGTTTTGTCCCAGAAAAGAACGTTAGCAGACAGCGTACTTTCAAACACAGAACCAAAAGTACTTTCGGTTCACTCATTAATTTCACATCTATGCCAAACTTGCAAGTTATTCTCTAATCCTGTTTCAGTGCTCTGGAGACTGATAATCAGGATACTGCAAACCAGCATGGATGATTCTTGCTGCAAAGGGTTAATTTTGACCCATAAAACAGTCTTGTGCTATGTGGCATAGTACTCCTTGCTTATCGCTGATCACATGAGATTTGAGCAGGTACAGAGATGCAGAGAGTGGGTGTGTTTATGTTTTTAACAGCCTGGCTGATGAAGCACATCAATGGGAAAAAAAATTGCTGTGCAGAAAGCCAGGATGCTCGCTAACCTTTATAGTCTGCTTTTTGCCGAGAGAGCATATGTTTTGTGCAGAACAGAAGCCAACACAAAGCATTTTTCTCTGGCTGCGTGTATGGTTTTGGTGATAGAAATGTAGTTGCTTGAAATTAAAATACTATTCATTCTGCACGGGAGTCCTTAGTCTGCTTGAAGAGATGGGACTTTGCAAAACAATCTGAGTAATTTTTGGAGATACAGGCATATCTATATGAGACCTTCATTCTGGAAAGATAATTGTTCATAGATATGAGGAAATATATGTGCTAAATTGTCTTTTAGTCCCAGTTCACAAATTATAAGCACCATGATAAAAAAATTGTAAACAGCAGGTTTACAATTAAAAAAAAGCAGTAAGAATGGCTGGTATGTTTTGTTGTTCAGGGCAATGGGGATTGGATAGTGAGGACAAGGACAACTTTATGCATAGTTCAGGGAGAAAACTGCTGAAAGTTACATTTGCTCTCTGTTGTCATTAGGGGACGTGTATATTCATGCAAACACTGCTGAGATTTCCAATACTTTTTTGTTATCTTAGCGACAAGATTGCAGAAGTTTGAAATATAGTAACAAACCTATTGTTACCCAAATATTTAAGGTTATACCCGTGAAAAACAAAAGGTTTGCCAATTGTGTTTCATTCCTACTGAATGATAACTGTGCTTTCCTTAAGTCACAACTGGAGAGCTTTCCATGGAGTGACAAGACCTGGGCTTCCCTTCAGTGTTATTTAATATGTTTCACTTTGACATTATGTAAATACTCTGCTATTAGGGAATAAAATGACATAAAATTGCATCCTTTCTCAACAAGGTTTTAAGTTCTTTCTGTAGCTTCTTTCCTTTTTGAAGCTGTAATAAAGATCATAATTAGAATCCCAGTTGCTTAAGTGAAAAATTAACATGTTCTTACATGGGGAACTGAGCCAGGTTCCCAGTGAGACCCCCTCCGGATATCTGTCCTGCCCCAAAATGCTCTCCCTAATACCAATTTATGTTCTAGACATATTAACGAAAATCATATTCATTGCTGCATAGCAGTTAATCAGACCCTTCAGATAGGTTTGAAATAATTTGCAGCCAAGTGCCAAAATCATTTGCAGCCACTCATTTCCTGCAGCCGTATCTGTGCATGTTTTAAAACTAATCAGAGAGTGTCAGTCCATTGCCCACTACCAGGACTGAACAAATTCATTCCACACATGTCCTTCAAGCGTACAAATTTATCCCAAATCCTGCTTAACCCCACTGCTGACCTCCCTGCTTACTGTCTTCTGGGCTGTGGCCAAGCAAACAAAAATCTAAAGGTTTTGACCTGATGTTCTCCCTGTCAAAAATATCTTCTCTTAAAGGTTTTTTTTTTTGTTTTGTTTTGGTTTGGTTTTTTTAGAACTGGATACAAATATATATATCTTATCTATTAATATATATTTTACTATGAAAATAAGATTCTAGCAGATTGGAATAAATTAAAACCTTCATGGGGCTAAAATAAACCTAATTTGTAATTTAATTAAAAACAGAAAGCAATAAGCACTAACACTTAACAAAAAAAAAAAAGACATTTTCATGGTGCAAAATACAGATTTAATTTCCAAATAAATGAATGGTAAACTGTAATTGTATCATGTGCAAGAAGGCACTCAGAACATATGAAACAGTAGTCACAGATTTTGCAATCAAGATGTTCCCTTTCTGGTTTTCCAAATTGTAGCAGAAGATACCAAAAGGTAAAACAAATAAAATGTTGTCTTCATTATTGACCCAGTTAGGAATTTGGTATTGGTAGGAGATGGATTCAGATCGATCTCTCTCTCTTCCCCCTGACCCCCCCTCCGTTCCCCCCCACCCCCCCTTATATGGTGAATTTTTATGTTTTCACACATCCAGCAAGTCCTGCCTAACATGTTTTTGATGTGCTCTTGTTTCCACAGGCCAAGGCTGCAAGCACAAAGGAAGTTTGCTCAGTCCCAGCCAAACAGTCCCAGCACAACTCCAATAAAGATAATGGAGCCGTTGTTACCCCCTCCTGCCACTCAGATTTCTGACCTCTCCAAAAGGAAGCCCAAGACAGAAGATTTTCTCACTTTCCTCTGTCTTCGAGGTAGGTATTGGCAGCAGCGCTGGGGCAGAGTCTCATTCACAGAAGGAGCAGTAGCGCTGCACACCAAGTCAGCAGCCAGACAGATGTACTGGAGCTGTACTTGAAGGTATTGTGTGCATTTCAGCTCTCAGCAATTTGACTGTATCTGCAGCAGGAGCATTCAAGTTCATGGTTCTAAAGAACATAAAATGAGGCTGGTAATAGTGCAAAAAGAAATTTCTTTTATGCTTGGCTCTCTGTTACCCTGAATGGGTTTTTGTCTAGCTCTCTTAAGTCCTCCCCATCCTCCTTTGTTTCGTCTGACTATAAACTGAAGAAGTGCTTAACTTGCCTGAGTACTTGTTCCTGCAAGAGGAGAAATCTGCTTGGAAATTCCCCTTCTCTACCTACTCACTGTCCTGTATTGTTCAATCTGAGTGAGGTTTTTCATCTGACAGTGGGTGGAGGGTTTGCCATTGTTCTTGTCTGCCTCAGGAACTGGGTTGTTCCCGTGGTGATAATTAAAACTGGTGAGCTCCTCCTCTTAGCAATCCAAGTACAAAGGAGGCCTCTGAAATTGTGGAGTGAAATACTTGAATTACCTCGCAGTAACAGGTGCTCGAGCCTGGCCGCAGCTGTGTGGTGTGCCAGGGATCCACGGGCTGTGTGTCTGCAAGCCCGAATGTCAGACTTGGGGGGCCTGAGCGTGAGGTACAGCTCACTCTCTAGATTAGGCTAGAGAAGGAGATGTTACTCGAGTGGTCATTTTTCTTAAGACTTTCCATGGCCCTGTGTCCCAAGTCATGTGCTGAAGATAGCATCTTTCAGTTAAGCCCCCAATTGTCATGTTATCTTTTGCTGTATGTTTCTCCGCAGGTGCGTCCCCAGTCTCATTAGTCTGTGCTGGAATGATGCCTCTTGCTGTTGTTTTGTCCCATTACCTGCTGAAAGGGTGTGCATTTGTTATAGATAGAGCTGCTCTGCAAAAGTCTTACCTAGTGGGTTGAATCTTTCAGAGCTTGCTTTGAGTTCCCCTTTCTTAGGTCTCCGCTGCATCTGTGGACAGCAGTGATCAACACCACCCATAGCTTCCTGGTTGAGGCTTTCTCACTTTAGTGTGAAAGTGTGGTTTGATTTCTTTTTTCTTATCTTCTGTAAGATTTTAGGCTAGTGGTTCCTTCAGACTGGTTGCTAATTTATCCATCTTATTTTACATCCAGTATGGAGCCTCCATCCTGTTGGGACCTCTGGTAAAGTGGGTGGGTGGAGGGGATAGCAGAGGGTGATTTGCTAGCTTTTGTGTTTGTTTAAAGGATGGAGAGGAGGAGAATCTAATGGAGTTTAAAGTGGCATAACAGTCCTCTGAAATTTAATCTGTGGAAATGTATTTCTAATTTAGTGTGCTGTGAGGTTGATCAGTCTGTTGGCAGCGTGTCACTGCTGTGATCTGGGCCAACTGCCACAGTTGTTGGTGGGAAGAGTCAGATGAGGGTTGTGTGTGTCTGTGTGTGAGCACACATGGCTGCATTCACACACTTGTTTCCACTGCTTGCTAACCAAGCATGTGTTATTTATAGCTTTGAAGGCACTTGCACTTACATAAAGGCAACCTGTGTGGGGGTGTCACTTATCTCCACTTGTATTTCCTACTTTCTTAGCATTCTCTTAGTGTTCTGGTTTAACAATGCAAATGGGAAGCATGGGTACTTTAGTCCTATTCCAGTGCTTCATGTTGTTGTTGTTTTTTTATTTTTTTTTAATTTAAATCAATGGGTGTTTAGCTCTTGCACCTGTAATTTTCTCCTTTGTTATTCATCTGTGGCATAATTGATGTTTTGTACTGTCAATTAAGAACTTGCAATTCATTCCTAATTTCTTCAGTATGCAGGAGTACTCTAACATTTCTGACAACACATGCATTCAGACTGCAAGATCACAATTACAATTATGTTAAAAACCACGAGGGAGAGTCTGCTCTGAGTTTCACACATGGCATGTTCTTAGTCTACTTAAACAGTCTGAAGAAAAACTGTGAAAGGGAGAGCTGTCAACTTTGTGTTTCAGCACCCCCACAAGCTTATTACTGCATCACCCCTGTATAAAGCATGAAAAGAGGCAGGAGAATCTTCTTGGACACCTGCTACCTGGGTGCTTCTCTCTGGAGGAGCAGGAGAGTGCTGTGGCTTGGAGGGAGGAGTGGGTTGTTCAGACTTGTATTAGTATGGTTCTGGCTTCTGTGCCTGAACTGCTGCATCCTTCAAGAGGTCCTGGCAGCCTAAGGTGTTGTCCATTTGGCCTCTGGGAATGTTTAGCTCCAGGTGGTTGTCTCTTTTGATGAGTCCATTTCAAAACAAGGAGATGGAAGCTGGTAGGGAGTTCATGTAGCAGCGTGCTGGTACATCCAGCTCCAGAAAGATCCCACAAGTGACTCACTCTCCAGGACACTGGCAGGCTTAGTTTGGTGCTACTCTTCTGGTGCTACCTAGTGAGCTTGGAGAGGGGAGAGCCAGAAGCTTACTAAGACCCTGCATAGGGAAGGAAGACTTGGGATATTTTGGAAGGGGTTATTTTGATTTGGAACCTCCATGCTTTTATTTATTGAAGTGTTGAGGGTTTCAGAATTGTTTGCATGGTGGGACAAGCAGCTGTTCTGACTTCTGTCCAGCTGTATGTGTCCAGCCTTGGCTCTTTGTGCTTTCACCATGAAATGTGACATGCAGTTGCATGGAAATAAGAGCACACTCACAGGGTTGAATTTCAACACTTGAAAAATCTTAAGTGTAGTAGTGGTAATATTCAGGACAGTAAATCCCTGTATTTGTTTAATTTAAAAAAAAATAATAAAGTAGGACTATCTGAGGTCCTAGTCCTTCAAAATGATCTGGTGATGTAATCCCTGGATTCATGATCAAAGCCTTTTTTTGGGCAAAGAAGTCTTTCCCAGGATTGGTGGGAATGCAGCTGAGTGGTCTTCTCTGCCCTTGTCCCACCACACCCAGCAGTGGTGTCAGAAGCACAGCGTAAATTTGTCACACCATAGAATCAAGAATCACTAAGGGTGGAAAACGCCTTCAAGATCACAAAGTCCAACCTTCGACTGAATTCCACCATGAATTCACATGTCAGTGTGTACTTTTCATTTTCTGTTTTTAATCAGAGAAATTTAAGCATCTTGTCACCACTACATGTTCGCTCTTCATTGTTCTTGTGAGGTTTATTTGAGTGGGAGCTGAATTCTGTCAGTGAAGGAGCAATACTATCATGATACAGTGTGGAAAAAAGGCCTTTGACATGTATGAGATCTCATACTTAGGAGAAGAAGTCCTATTTACCTGTCCTGCTGTGTGTAAGAAAATCTAATGATTCAAATAATTTTGCTTCCCCCCTACTCCATTAGCACCCTGTAATTTCAAAGGGAGATAATTTAACCAAGATGACCTGCTTAGTTTCATTATCCAGAACACAAAGGCTTTAGACATATTTTAATTAGTTTGTTTTTAAAATTCTTGATTTGATAATACACTGTACTAATTACTTCTTAAAAGGTAAGTGGACTACAATGAAAAAGCTGTAACAGTTGATGAATATCTGAGACCTAGAATACATGTCTAGACTGACCAAACTTGGCAAGGCTCCTCTGCTTTCTATTTTTTTTAAATCCTCCTTTTAAAAAGGTTGGTGGTTTTGAAAAATTTTATTAAATTGTGACCTAGAATTTTCAACACGAGGAGGGGAAATAGTCCAGATATCTCCAAAGTGTTTGTCTGCAGTGTTCTTATCTTTAAATAGCTTCTTTGAAGAAGCCTGTATGCCCTTTGCCAGCGACATAATTAGTATCTTTCAGCAGCATGTAGATACGAGTGTGTCATCTCCGTGTGGTTGTACAACAGCTCTCACTTTTACTGTGTTTTCTGTCTCTGATCATATTTTTCTTAATAGCTTGTTACACTGCATTTAAGTTACCTCTGCTCCCTGTAATTATTTACAGGTTAAAATATTGTGAGTCAAATATCAGGCTAAAGGAAAGAGAAACAACTCCCTGTGAGCAATAGATCTTTGGCAAAAGGTGATAACAGGAAGGCTGTGATTAGAGGAGTACATTTTAAGAAGTTTTCCCATGATCAATTTTCTAATTAAGCTGAGCCTCTGGGAGTTACATGCTAGAGAATTTCAGGGATTTCAAAATATAAATGGTTTAATTGAGATCTCACAAATTGAGTTTTCAGGCTCTTCTGCAAAATGGGTGATTGTTCTTTTTCCTTGAGTGCTGTGCTGACTTAATAATCTGATGATTTATTACAATTGGGCAAAATCAAAACAGAAAATTTCACTATGTGAAATATTTGTCTGAAATCTGCATGTTTGTCTGAAGTTCAGTAACTTCTAAATTTTATTGCAGTGTGCTCTTTAGCAGGCTTTTTATTCTTTTAAACACTTGTATTTGAGTGGTAAAAAGGATCAGGGGCCTTTGATCCAAGTCTTCTCTTTTGAGTTCTGATAGGAGAAGCTGACTATGTCAGTTCATACCTGCAGAGATTTCCGATTACAATGGGAGAGCCCCCAGAACCAAAATTTGGGAGTTCTTAATCTTGGACATGTTAGAAAACAACTGTTAATTTGTCCATCTTTTCAGTAGGGCAAAAGTTATGTTTGCCTTGTTAGTTTGGTGTCAGTAGGCTCTGTAGTCCAACATGTGCTGTACTTGGAGAGTTGCTGCCTTACGTCAGTCATATTCTTGAAGTGCCAGCCATTGGCACTGTGGAGATTTGCTCACCACATCAGAGTAAGCAGATTGAATAGCACAGCAACTTGATTAGGCTGGAAGCAAAGCAATGAAATGCTGACACCGTCCAAAAGTATGAGCTTCTTTGCAGTCTGGGTTAGTTTCTATAATTCCAAAATAATATTAAAACACACAGATACATAATAATTTGTTCAAAATACTGGAAGAAATTTTTTTTTATTTTGTTATTATATCATTTAGTATTTGAAATTAAAATTTTAGGATGGATTGAAAATTC